GTCTGTGTGAGTGTGTGTGTCTGTGTGAGTGTGTGTGTCTGTGAGTGAGTGTGTGTGTCTGTGTGAGTGTGTGTGTCTGTGTGAGTGTGTATGTCTGTGTGAGTGTGTATGTCTGTGTGAGTGTGTATGTCTGTGTGAGTGTGTGTGTCTGTGTGTGTGTATGTCTGTGTGAATGTGTATGTCTGTGTGAATGTGTGAGTGTGTATGTCTGTGTGAATGTGTATGTCTGTGTGAATGTGTATGTGTGTATGTCTGTGTGAATGTGTATGTCTGTGTGAATGTGTATGTGTGTATGTCTGTGTGAATGTGTGTGTGTGTGTGTGTGTGTGTGTGTGTGTGTGAGAGAGAGTGGACGTTTGTGTCTGTGTGAGTGTGTCTGCATGAATGTGTGTGTGAGAGAGACAGAAAGTGTGTGTGTGTGTGTGTGTGTGTGTGTGTCTACAGTGCAGCACAGTACAGGCCCTTCGGCCCACGACGTTGTGCCGATCTATTATCCTACTCTGAGATCAAACTAATCTCGGGGAAATTTTCGCTGGGCAAGAAGTTTACACAAAGCGAGCTAGATCTAAGCAGCCTTTGTTTATGACATAGGTTTAAAAGGATCTCTGAACAACCTTTGGCAGTGACAGAATCTTCTGCATATGACTAGGAGAATGAATTGCCCCAGAAATAATGGCAATGGTAGAACATTCCTACTGCAAACTGAGCTACAGAACGCATCTCCTAATTCTGGTTCAGTTCCACACACCAGAATTGTTAAAGGGAATCACCCTTGAATGCCAGCACTGTTTGCATTCTGATTTGGTGTTCAGCTGCTTGTTTTGATGTGCTTAAAAGAGCAGAGCCGCGAACCTGGATCTTACAAAATAAGTAATTCACCTCCGACTCCCCGCATAACCTTGGCCAGTGACTTGATTTGCGAATGAGCATTTTCAGGCTTGAAACCGTTAAGAAGTAGGAACAGGAGGAGTCTGTTCGCAGCTCAAGCCTGCTTTGCCATTCAATAGGATCATGGCTGATCCAACATTCTGCCCATCCACTTTCCTCCCCTTTGCCTGACTGATCAAGAATCTATCTCAGCCTCAAATATACACAAGGACTCTGCCCCTGCAGCTCTCTGTGACAAGGAGTTCCAAAGACTCAGATCCTCTGAGAGAAGAAATTCCTCCTCATTTGGTGCCACTTTATTCTGAGACTTTATTCCCCTCTCATCCCAGACTCTCCCGCGAGGGGAAACATCCTCTCAACATTTACCCTGACAAGCCCCTTAGGAATCTGATACATTTCAGTGCGATCACATCTCATTCCTCCAAACTGCACTGAGTAACTTCCCAAACTCTTTAACCTTTCCTCATTAGATAATCCCTTCATTACCAAAGGGTCATCGTAGTGAACTTTGTCTGAACTGCCCTGAAATAAGTGATATCTTTCCTTAAATAAGGAACCCAAACTGCTCAAATTCTCCAGATGTGGTCTCACCAGCCTCTTGTCCAGTTACAGTAAGACTTCCCTACTCTTATACTCCAACCCCCTTGAAATAAGGCCCAACATTTCATTATTACCTGTGTGCTAGCTTTCTGTGCACAATGCACAAGTCCCTCCCCCTATATCCCTTGGTGTTGCAGCTTTCTGCAGTTTCTCTCCATTTAAATAATACTGTCAGAATTGAAGCTGACCAGAATTAAAGTGGGGAGAGACATATGACAGGCAGCTCAAGTAACATCGTACGGAGACAAGATTGTCCTCCCTAATGCTAAACGCCATCACCATATCCGACTAGTAGCTGGCTACAAATAGGCCACCCCATTGAAAAATACCTCTGGAAATGAACTAAGCATGAGGCTCGTACTCTAACTGTCTCAGCTACGCTGGATGCTAAATCCCTGACCCAGAGTCTGGTTTGCCTGCAGCATTACTAGCAAAAAATTCTGGGTGATAAATTCAATCTGTTGGCTCAATACAGCCACGCTGTAGCTCAGAGCCAGCTTGGTTAGCTTACACTGGGAACTGTCTGGAGGCAAGACATTAATTGCAATGTCATGGAAACATCTGCGATGGAAGTGACCACATCTTTGACCCTGAAAGCCACAAATCCATCAGTGGGATTGGGCACCATGGATTATATAATGTGCATGGAATGAGGATTGCGATTCACTCATTTGATCCTAAAGTCAAACCTGGCATTCTAAATGCATCACTTGCCCACAAATATAAACTTGCTTAAAGTGTGCAGGCCATCCCAATGGGCTATTAGGACAATGTGATACACTGTTCAGAGTTGTTGAGGCTCATTCCTATTGAGACAGCTGTCAGTACAATACAGAACATGGCAGCTATGTTATTAGCCAGTTCCACAGGACACCATGGCGAAAACAGCATTGTCCTGAGCCTGAATTACTCTCAGTTGCAATCTGCCGGTTTCCCCAGCCAGAAACGCGGGACAACTCATACCCGTTAAGGGAATGGCAACAGAGAAAGGTGAAGATTCGAGTGAGTCGACAGCAAACATGCTTGGGTCAGAAGCGTCTGCAGACTCTGAAACGACAACTGTTTGGATCGCTAGGTCCGACGCCCCGCCCCGTTTCTAAGCAAACTTCAACACTGACTGTCCTGATGCATTTGGATGTGGTCACACTTGGCAGGCAGTTCATCTCCATCACCGCACAGTGTTAGACAGGACATGTCGCCTCACGGGGTCGAGTGATTCAGAGCATGCAACTACAAACTCAGGGCCCCACACTACTGGAGGAACTGGGTGCATGTGCAAAAAATGTTCAGCAAGTTTCATAGCCATGCTTACTGTGGTGGAGAGGGGTACAAGAGGCCATGTTCAAGAGATGTGTCTGGGTGTCTTTCTAAGGCTTTTCGAAGCTCATCTTTGCTGACACTTGCAGGGTAAGTGTCATGCAGCAGCCTGAGACATCAATCCTGGATGCACGCTCGATCAGGGCTTTCTGCAGTTCTTAAAAATGTGAATCATAATCGCGGCCAGCAAAGGGCCCAGTTGGCTCTTCCACGTGTGACATTTCCGATCAAAGTCAATTCGCAGTGGGACGTTTTGGCATCTTTCAAACCAACAAAACCAGGAGGAAGGGGCACACGTTCTGTGCCCACAACTCCCAGATCCAACTGCAGAAAGCCCCGCGTGTTTTTTTTTTTTGGGATCTATTTCTCCGGATTTGGACATGCTACGTTAGCCGTTAAACTCTTCAAATCAAGGAATTAAAGCATAGCCAGGAAAGAAAGAGAGAGATGAAGCAGCAGCAGCACAAAAGATTATGAGTGATTTGGCATATAACATATATACCTCAGTGGTCCTATTCACCATCACCTACGATAGCACATCAGGCAGAGAAAGAGAAGGAAAGAGAAATGAAGGATTAGTTCACCGACTTTGGGGTGGTTTGTAAAGCCCTGGGATGACAAAAAATGAAAAGGAAGCAGTGATCCAAGCAAAAATGGGAAGAACAGGCGGCAACACAATAAAGGAAGGAGAGGAGGGAGAAAATTTTAAAAATGGCTGAATGGGAAGCAGCCTGAAAGGGGTAGAGGTTCCTCGCACACCGTACTTTACATTGTCTGCACTACTCTCTCAAATGAAAATATTCGAAGACAAGTTTTTTTTTGGGGCGTGATTAAGCGAAACGATCACAGATTCCTGTAAAACAAAGAGTTTGAGAATGTTTATTGACCCTCACTATAGGGTTGCCAACTCTGGTTGGACATATTCCTGGAGACGCAATCACCTGCCTCTCCCAAAGGATCCCCCCAACAGTTCCTGTCTGACATCACTAAACATAGTCACCTTGACAAGAACAATGCTTTCCCAGTGCCAATTGGAAACGGTGCAGACCATTTCGTTAGTCAATTAGGTGGATGGAATTCTGCAATAAACAAATTATTCAATGACCTGATGAGTTATTCCTGGGTCACTCACAGCAGCAGAATTCCTGAACTCTCCAGTTCAGTCCTGGAGGATTGGCAACCCAACCTGCAGGGGACCCAACGACCAAGGAAAAAGAAAAATCACAAAAGAAACAAAACCTTTTCTCGTGCTTGCAGTGGTACCTCTGAATGAGCTTCCCCAGTGGACAATGCAAACATGAGAGGGTCAGGGGCTAGAGAAGGAACTTAGGGGTTACAGACAGGGTCACAGGTTACAGGGAAGGTCACGGGGTACACCTTAGGTCATGCGTTACAGAGGGGGTCAGGGGCTACAAACAGGGTCAAAGGCTACAGAGAAGGTCATGTGTTACACACAAGGTCATGGGTTACAGAGAGGGGCACGGGTTACAGAGAGGGGCACGGGTTACAGAGAGGGGCACGGGTTACAGAGAGGGTCATGGGTTACAGAGAGGGTCAGGGGTTGCAGAGAGGGCAACAGGTTACAGAGAGGGTCAGGGGTTACACAGAGGGTCAGGGGTTACAGAGAGGGTCAGGGGGTTACAGCGTGGGGTGGCGGGCATGTGGGATTGGAATTTAAAACAAACTGAATTACTGGGGAGAAGGTGGTGGTAGCTATTAGATTTAAAAACTGACAAGTCCCCAGAACCGGATGGTGTGTGTCCTCAGGTCTGGCTGCAGTCACACTAATGGCATTGGTTATAATCTTTAAACATGCAGTAAATTCTGCAGGGGTCCACCTGCCTGGGAAAGTAGCTACTTTATTGAAGGAAGGAGGAAGACAGAAAACTAAAAGCTCTTAGCTGGTTAGCCTAACATCTGTCATAGGGAGTTTACTGGAATCCATTATTTAAGAGGTTATGTCTACATAGTTAAAAACAAAAATCATAATATGATGAAGCAGAATCGGTATAGCTTTGCGAAAGGGATAACTAATATATTAGCAAGTTTTTTTCGAGGGAGTGACAGGCCGGGTAGATGAAGAGAAACCTGTTGATGTGGTGGATCTGAATTTCCAAAAGACTTTTGATCAGGTGCCACCTCAAAGATTATTTTGGAAAATAAAGGCTCACGGTGTGGGGAGTTAATATATTGACACGCATAAAGTTTGGTTAGCAACTGGAGGCAGAGAGTTTGGAATAAAATCGTCTTTGAAGAGCTTGAAACCTGTAACTAGTGGAGTGCCACAGGGATCAGTGCTGGGGCCTCACCTATTTACAATCTATTTCAACAACTTGGCTCACAAAACCGAATGGACGGCAGCTAAACTTGCTGACATTACAAAGAAAGATAGGGAAGTAGGTTATCAAGAGGAGGTGGAAAGGATAAAGGCAGGTTGAGTGAGTGGGCAAACATTTGGCAGATGCAGCATCATGTGGGAAAATGAGGAAGAATTGAAGAATAGGCTGGAGAGTTTCAGCTATGAAGGGGGATTGGGCAGGCTGGGGTTGTTTTCCTTAGGTCAGAGGTGACTGACTGGGAACATGACAGAGATGTATAAAATGATGAGGGACTTACGTAGGGTAGGCAGGAAGAAACCTTTCCCCTTGATGCAGGGATGAACGACCCAGGAGGCACAGATTTAAGGTAAGGGGCAGAAGGTTTAGAGGAAATGTGATGAGAAAGGTTTTCACCCAGAGAGTGGTGGGAATCTGGAACTCACTGCCTGGAAGAGTGGTAGAGGCAGAAACGTTCATCACATTTAAGAAATATTTAGTTTTTTTTTATTCGTTCATGGGACGAGGGCATCACTGACTAGGCCAACATTAATTACCCATTTCAGAGGGCAGGTAAGAGTCAACCATATTGCTCTGCGTCTGGAGTCACATGTAGGTCAGATCAGGTAAGGACGGCAGTTTCCTTCCCCTAAACAACATTAGTGAACCAGATGGGATTTTACAACAATCGACAATGGATTCATGGTCTTCATTAGGTCCTTAATGCCGGATTTCTAGTGAATTCAAATTCACCATCTGCTGTGGCAGGATTTGAACTTAGGTTCCCAGAACATTACCTGAGTCTCTGGATTGACAGTCCAACAATAATAAAACTAGGCCTTCACCTCCCCACGTGCACTTGCGATGCCAAGGTAAACAAGGCCAAGTACTGGAAAATGGGATTTGAATAGTTAGGTGGTTATTTTTGACTGTCATTGATGTAATGGGCCAAAGGTCTTTTCTCTGTGCTGTGGACATCAATGCTCTAAAAGCAGCGTCTGATTTAAATGTAGAGAGATTGCTGATCTCGGGGGGACATTGGGATTTGGGTGTTCTGGTGCATTAAGTACAAAACATCAGTATAGACAGGGAGGGATGAGAAAGGCAAGTGGAATGCTGGCCCACATTGCTGGGAGAATGCAGCATAAAAACAGGGAAGTTTTACTTCGGCTGTACAGAAACTCGGTGAGACCACTTCTGGAATATTATGTACAGCTTCTGTCTCCTTACTTTTGGGAAAAAAAGATATACAATTGTGTTAGAGGCAGTTCAGAGAAGGTTCATTTGATTAATTCCTGGTATAGATTTTCTGGAAATAGGCCGAAGAGGTTGACCCTTTGGGGTTTAGAAGAATGTTGGGTGAGATCTTAATGAAACATGGAAGATCCTCAGGGGACTTAACATGGTGGAAACTGAGAGGATGAGGTTTGTAAATGAGGCTGGAACTAGAGAACAAAAACAGAAATCACCAGAAAAGCTCAGCAGGTCCCCCAGCATCTGTGGAGAGAAAGCAAAGTTAACGTTTCAGGTCGCGCGACCCTTCCTCAGGACTGATGGTAGCTGGGAAAGTGCCGGTTTACATGCAGAATCAGGGAACATGGCTTCTAAGACGGAGGTGAGGCGAATTTTTTTTTCCTCTCTGGAAGGGTCATTCGTCTGTGGAATTCTCCTCCCCAAACGGCAGTGGAGGCGAAGGGCATTGAGTACATTCAAGGCTGCGCTTTTAGATTTTGGATTGACAAAGCAGTTGGGGGTTGAGGGGGAGAGAGGGTGCAGATCGGAAAATGGAGCAGAGGCCCACCCACCAGATTAGCCATGACCTTAGTGAATGGCAGAGCAGGCTCAAAGGACCCGAATGACCTACTCCTGCTCCTAAGTATTCCATTCCTGTGGGTTAGGGGAGTTCAGATTACACGTCAGACACAGAGAGAGAGAGAGAGAGAGAGAGAGAGAGAAAGCGGCAGGCATGGCTTACCTTGGACTCCACGTCTGCGTTGTGGTCATTCTGTAGGAGCAGTGCAGCAGCTTTGGTGTCGTCCTTGCGGGCAGCAATGTGCAGGGCTGGCAGGCGCACCTTGCCCTTCGTGTCGTTCTCCAGCAGCAGTGAGACCACCTGGTCGTGACCCTGCTGCAGTGCCACAGCCAACGGCGTGAAGCCATCCTGCGAAAGGGGTGGGGGTTGCGGGGAGAGAGACAGAGAGATAGCAACGGGCACAGTTACACCCCTGTTCAGAGCGTAGGCATTTCCCTCAGCCAGAAAATGGCGGCAGCGCAGCACACACTTAGTGCCCTTGGCAGCAGGGAAGCTGGAGAAATGCACAAGGCGTGAGATAACCGCAAGGTTATGCCAATAGGGTTCAGCTGGAGGAGGGAGGCAAAGGCTTGCGTTGAGCATCAATGCCAATCCAGATCAAAATAAAAGCCGAAAGAACTGCGGACGCCATAAAGAAGCTGCTGGAAAAGCTCAGCAGGTCTGGCAACATCTGTGAAGAAAACATCAGAGTTAATGTTTCGGGTCCGGTGACCCGCAAGTTCTGAGGAAGGGTCACCGGACCCGAAACGTTAACTCTGATTGTTTCATCACAGATGCTGCCAGACCTGCTGAGCTTTTCCAGCAACTTCTGTTTTTGTTACCAATCCAGACCTGTTGGTACCAATGTACATTTAACAACTGCCCATCTAGCTACACTTTTCACCTCAGTTTGTGACAAAGAGACACCCCACACCCAGACTCTGACCTCTGGGGGCCTAAGAGACCCATTTCCCTGAAGGATAAAGAATTTACAACTTTCACCTTAGCAACAGCATTTAATTCTGTTTTCCTTTAAAGGGTCACACTAACATGTACTGTTGCATCTTGTAGTACATGTGTTAATGTTAAATTCCATGTTCCTGCAGCATTAGATTGATTGGACTGCTCTTCCAAAGAACCAGTAGAGACATGATAAGCTGAATGGTGATCTTCTCTGCTATATGATCCGAGAATGATACATTGAGTTACTTATAATTGCACATCTCAAGCTATCTGGTTTGGGTTTTAATTCACCAATTCCATTCCATAATATTCATCTGGATAAGGACTCCATGAATTAAAGGGGTGATGTCAATTGAGAGTCTTGGCAGGAACCAGAGCTGACAGACAGAACAGGATTCAATCTCCAATGAGGCAGAACATAGCCTGACATTCCAGTGCAATACTGAGGGAACACTGCTGTCTAATCCACTTCTGCTGGACAGAAGCGATCCTATGCTACCAGCTCAATTACAAGCTGGAGAGCTCTCTCTGGATTTCTGGTCAAAACCAAGTCTTTAACCAACATCAGTGAAACTGGTGGTCTGTCCTCTTATTGCTGTTTCTGGGAGATTCTTAATGTGTACAATTATGAATAGAGAGGTACTAATACCTTGGCTCATCAAATTAAAAACATTGTGCCTGATCAATCAAAACAAATACTAATGAGGAAGCTGTTACAGGCTGCATGTCACATATTCCTATGTTTTCAAATAACACTGCAAAGTAACACAGCTGTACAGACCATGGTTGAATGAATGGAGACATCAACTCACCTCTGTCGCAATGCTCTGACTTGCACCATTGTCTAGAAGAAACTTAACAACTTCCAGATGATTCTCCTGTGCGGCCATGTATAGAGGTGTGAAGCCATTCTGCAAAAGAAAATGCATCTTCGTCGTACTTGGGGGGAGAAGCCGTCACTTTTGGTCAGTCTTTGAGAGTTTTGGCACAGCCATTTGAGGCAGGCGCGGTGGCTCAGTGGTTAGCGCTGCTGCCTCACAGCGCCAGAGACCCAGGTCTGATCTCACCCTTGGGCAACTGTCTGTGTGCACATTCTCCCCGTGTCCTCGTGGGTTTCCTCCGGGTGCTCCGGTTTCCTCCCACAGTCCAAAGATGTGCAGGTTAGGGTGGACTGGCCATGGGAAACGTGGGGTTGCGGGATGTGGTAGGGAGGGTTGGGTCTGGGTGGGTTGCTCTTTGGAGGGTCGGTGTGGACATGATGGGCCAAACGGCCTCCTCCCGCACTTTAGGGGCTCTAATATTCGAGCGGCTCCCTTCCCCTGAAAGAGGTATTCGGCCCCAAGGGTGGCTGGCTTGTTCTCGCTACAACATGCTGATTGTCTGACTGCATTTCCCAACAGTGTGTGTGTTTATGACATTTGCAATTCCTCGTATTCTGAGCTTCCTGGGTTCTGAACTCATCAAGCAGCGAAGAGAATGTCAGGGAGGAACTGCCTAATTGATAAAGTGGAGGGGACCTGACTGGCTGACCTGCCAACCCTGTGAGAAGGTTTGAGTGTCCTTTATGCTTTACCTTAGCTTCTCTGTCCAGGGAACACAGGATGCAGAATTTCAAACATACAAGAGCGTTAAAAGACACTAACACTGCAGAAATCCAGACACCCACCTTAGAGGAGGCAGCTAAGAAAATGACTCTCAGCATCTTTTGCCCGATAAAGGGGGATGACACCATGCCACCCACCCCACTCAGTTCACCACCCCCCTTCCCGGCCTGAGTCTTCAGTGTGAAACCGTGGATTGACTGGACTACGATAACAGCGTTGGATCCAATATGCACTCTATGCCCTTTCTTCCTGCCGCTTTCTCCTGCTCCAACTGGCACTGGGACCCATTCCAGACGGCAGCAGGATACAAGTGGGTGAGTGGGCCTTCTTAATTCACCGCCCCCTCCCCTTGGTGCCCACCCACTTGACCAAACCACTTCCCAGGCCCAGTCTCCACCAGGCAGGAGCTTATAAATGTCGTTGTCACTGTGTGTGAAGCGAACGGAAGCAACAACTCGAGCTTTTATTTGCAGAGTTTGAAAATAAAGACTACCCCTGATAATACCAGTGCGTGTCCCAGGAAGATGGTGCCTACGCTGTTGCCCTGGAAACCAGCTCAAATCCAGTGCTGACTGCCCCTGATCTCCATTCCATGCCAACATCCAGGGAACTTGGTGCCAAACTCTCCGATGAGCATTTGCATCACTGAGCACTCTTTAGGTGAAGATAGACAGAAGGACTGTGGAGGAAGTAAGGCCACAGAGCCCTTAATAGGCAAATGCCAGAACCCCTACACAGTGTGGATACAGGCCATTCAGCCCATCGAGTCCACACTGACCCTCCAAAGTGCATCCCACCAGACCCACGCTCCTACCCTATCCCTGTAACCCTGCATTTTACCATGGCTAACCCACCTAGCCTGCACATCTCTGAACACTACGGGTAATTTAGCATGGCCAATCCACCTAACCTACATATCTTTGGACTGTGGAAGGAAACCCATGTAGACACGGGAAGAATGTGCGAACTCCACACATACAGTCATCTGAGGGTGGAAGTGAACCTGGTCCAGGGCACTGTGAGGCAGCAGTTCTAACCACTGAGCCACTGTGCCACCCTTAATATTGCAAGTGCCCATTACCCCTCTGCATCGCAACTGTTTCCAGCATGTGTTTGGGAGGAGGGTTGGCCATTTTAACTCAGACAAGAGATCATTTGAAGTACAGCATTTTTAATAACAAAAACAATTGGGAAATAATGCCCTGTTAAAATGATCAAATCTAACCACAACGATGTGATTCATTCACATTAGGTGGCTTTCTCTTTCATAATATCAGGACAATTGATGTAAAAGTAAATCCTTGTCATGTTTTAAACTATTAATACATCTGTGACCTTCACAGTGGGAAAGGCATTCTATTCAGGGCTAAGCTGGAACCTTAATAACAACCTCTTCATGTGAGCTGAATGGGTCTGCTGATACACTTCACCTCATTTTTATCATGAAGCTGACTCCTGGTTAATGGGAAGTGAATCACCTGATTGTGCAGGGAAGGTGCCCTATTCCATCAAACACATCTTTAACCTTCTTGACAATCAAACCCCATTGGCTTTGAAGCCAAATCGTGGAGCTGAGCTGTCCTGTTAAACATTCTAGGCACATAACGATGCAGTTCGTGACACACAGGTAAACTGATGTGGAGATCAAGGGTCAGAGATTCCTTCAGTGTCTTTTTTTTTCAAATGGGAAGGTAATCCACAACTGCAAAGCAAGTTAGATTTTACAGACAACATTTCCAGGACCCAATGCGTCCACACCAGCCATTAAAAGGTCACAAAAATTAAATAAATAATTAATTTGATAACTTTTAATTAAATAAAAATTTTCAAAAACTCAAGTATTGTTTCTCGGTAAAGTAACTAGTTTTTACAGCCACTTGGCTTTTTTTTAAACTTTCTACCAAATATTTTCCTGTTGCTCCGATATGTCCCATAATCAGAGACATTACATCTCTAACTCTCCAATATGTTCAAGCTATGCTGGAGGCTATTCAGCCTTCCAATACCCGAACCACGACTCAACTGGATCATGGATTAGAGCCAATGATCCACAATCTGATCTGAGTGCGCACACACTGGGGAGTGGGCTCAAGATATACTGAGGAATGGGCTGTGTATATACACACTGAGGGGTGGGCTGTATATACACTGAGGAGTGGGCTGTATATACACTGAGGGGTGGGCTGTATATATACACACTGAGGGGGTCTGTATATATACACACTGAGGAATAGACTGTATATATACACACTAAGGGCTGGGTTGCATACACACTGAGGAATGGGCTGTATACACACTGAGGAATGGGCTGTATACGCACTGAGGAGTGGGCTGTATACGCACTGAGGAGTGGGCTGTGTATGCACTGAGGAGTGGGCTGTATACACACTGAGGAGTGGGCTGTGTACACACTGAGGGGTGGGCTGTATACACACTGAGGAGTGGGCTGTATACGCACTGAGGAGTGGGCTGTGTATGCACTGAGGGGTGGGCTGTATACACACTGAGGAGTGGGCTGTGTACACACTGAGGGGTGGGCTGTATACACACATGCACTAATCGCCTTAAGGGGTCCTTTTCTGGTTTGCAAAATGTAATGTATGACAGTTGTGCCGGGACCTATGCTGGGACCTCAATGATTTACAATTTCTATAAACGACTTGGATAAAGGGACCAAGAGCTCTCCGAATGCAGGAATCAGAAAACATTGGTATGAAAGTATCGCAAGTAGGTTGGATAGCAAATAGAGTCTTACTGTTTACTGTGAATGGAATTAAATACAAAATTAATTAGTTATACAGGACATTGGTAAGGCCACATCTGGAGTACTGTCTGGGTCACCCAGTTTAAGGAAGGATGTCAATATTTTGGAATCAGTTTAAAGAAGATTTGATCCACTTTTTCCTGGAATGGACAGGTTGCCTTATGAAGAAAGGTTGGGCAGGCTAGGCTTGTATCTGCTGGAATTGCAAAGAGTAAGATGCAACGATTAAGATATATAGGATCCCAAGTGGTCTTCACAGAGTGGATGTAGAAAGGATGTTTCCTTCAATGGGAGAATCTGGAACTAGGTGTCACTGCTTAAAAGTATGGGTCAGCCATTTGGGAGTGAGAAAGCTGAAATGTTTTATCTCAGAGGGTCCTGAGTCTTTGGAAAATGTTTCCCCAAAAGAAGACGGGAAGCAATATTCTTGAATATTTTTCAGGGAGATGCAGATGGACTCTTGACAAACAAAGCGGGGGGGTGTCTTATTGAATGGCAGAGCAGGCTCGAGGGGCTGAATGGCCTCCTCTTGGTCCTGATTGATAGGTTTGTGTGGGAAATACTTCAATAATTGCTCATCATCTCGCTCTTTAGGCCAGGCACTCATGAAATGATTGCGCCTAGAGAGTACCACTCCCTTACACATTCCTTCACCTATTTCTCTGTGTAAAGTCATTCGCAGGTAACTCAGTGGCTAAAAACTAATCAGGCAATCTTCAGAGAATGCCACATGTGCAAGAGCACACGACTTAAAAAATTTCTAATATTGTACAGGTTATTGTATTAACATCAGCCACAGTTAGAGGTGCCACTCCCTTCCTTGAGCCAAGCCAGAAGTCACATGATACCAGGTTTGTTTGAAATCACGAGCTTTCTAAGCACTGCTCCTTTACCAGGTGATTTTTCAGGCTCTGGAGCCCAGAGCAGTGAAATGGAGTAAGTGAACTTTGTCTTAAATAAGGAAATAAAAATTTCTTTTTCTTCTCTTTATTACATTATCATGGAAGGACTGTTATTCTGAACTTTTTATTTCTTTATTTTTCTAATGTTCTTCCTTAAGAATGTGTACTTACGATTCTATACCTAGATACCTTTGTACCTAAGATGGCACTGTAAGTGGTGACTTGTAAACCTTTCACTGTGAGTATACATGACAACAAAGCTAATTCAATTTAACATTGGTTTGAAATAACGTCAAAAGCAGCCAGTCCCATCATGTGAAGAAAACATTTGCTATCCTTATCTTCAATTTTCTCGCTTTCAGCCAAATGTGTAATCTTTATCGGTACTAATACCGGATTGCGGGAAAAACATGTGGTTTTAGGTTGGCTGTATGGAGTTGTGAGATTCAGCCTCACTTTACTGATCCATGTTAAAATGTACGAGGCTCTGGCTTATAAACACTGCATGAATTTAATTCAAGAGATAACAAGGCATACAGCTGGATGAACACAGCAGGCCAAGCAGCAACATAGGAGCAGGAAGGCTGATGTTT